TACTAAAGTTGTACTACCAAGTCGCCAGTTCTCATCTTCCAGCTCCCGCGCTCTCGCCTACATTTCGCGCACTCAACACGCACGATCTCTGCAGAGGGTTGCGGGCACACCGGACAGATCGCACTCTCGCCTGCATTTCGCGCACTCGACACGCGCGATCTCCGCAGAGGATTGCGCGCGCACAGGACAAATCGCACTCTCGCCTGCATTTCGCGCACTCGACACACACGATCTCCGCAGAGGGTTGCGCGGGCACAGACACAATCGCACTCTCGCCTGCATTTCGCGCACTCGACACGCACGATCTCCGCAGAGGGTTGCGCGCGCACAGACCCAATCGCACTCTCGCCTGCATTTCGCGCACACGACACGCACGATCTCCGCAGAGGGTTGCATTTTCGGTTGACGCTGTTCGTCCCACCCTCCGCCTTTAAGAGAGAATTTATACAGTGTTGAAATGTTTTTCATTAGGACATCTCCCGTGCAAGTTTTTCATGTCATTCATTAGGACATCTCCCGTGCAAGTTTTCCATACTCACATCACACTTACATTACACTTGGATACGTATAGACGTGTATAGACGTGTAAGTCTTCATGTTCATGTTCAAGTGTAAGTGTGGAAGCGTAAGTGTTCAAGTGTACGTGTTGAAATGTCAGTGTTCAAGTGCAAGTGTGGAAGTGTCAGTGTGTGAGTGTAAGTGTAGAAGTGTCAGTGCTCAAGAGATTTTCCGGAAGAACCCTTCGCAATACTTTCGGGAACAAGAGTCCAAACATATCCGAAGCTTGCAACCTTTAGATTTCCACCACGTAGGCGGAGCAGAGTTCCAGCCATGAGCACCTCACAGCAAGGCTCATGGACTTTCCTGGTGTCGGGTTTGGTGCAGCTGCGTTTCGCCCAGCAGCACATCACGATGCATCGATATGCATCGTGCATATTCTTGTTGGAATTTAAACAACTGAGAAACACCTGAAATCAAGTCAAAAGCTACCTGAAGGTATCCCTCTCATTGATCTCTCTTGAGAAACACACTGGCTGGCCATTTGGAGTCCACAGCCGCATGTCCTCGAGCAGGCTCTCGAGGCCTCAGCGTCGAACTCGCAAAAGGCTGCTTCGAAAGGATGTCGCACAGTGCGAAACAAAGAGGAAACAAGCTTAAAGGGCGAAAAATGCACCCGAAAGGAGAGAAAAGATGTGATATGAAAAGAAATTGCTAAACAAGAAAATATTCAATGTGGAAAACCCAAAGCACAAACTGGGCCAAGGCCTTGCTGAAATGGCAGGTGTCTCGCAATCACCTCCACAATGCTGGCTGTGTAGACCGCCTCCAAAAGAGCATTGTGGAAGCACAAGTGACCAACGAAGAGGCAAAGCAAATGCAAAGGCAATTCAAGTTGAAACCGCATCCAAAAGCGCTGAAACATGCTGACTTGGAAAATGTGTCCATCTCGTTCCGTGATTTGTTTGTTGAAGGCCTTGGCTTCGCTACCTCTACGCCTGGGGGTGGTGGAGCTAGCAGCTCGTCGAACTGGGGCCTGGGCGAAGATTCTGGGCATGGCATACAGTGAACGATCGAAAGAGCGGGAAAGTTACACGGCCGTCGGACATGCCAAACCAAATTTAAAGCATACAGTCCTGTAGCATGCTGTTGTTGTATCTTACAAGATGTTGTAATCCTCATTCTTAGAGTATACACGATACCGACCAATCTAATCACCAATCTTGAACCATGTCGAGTTCGTTCTTAGCTTTTGGCTGGATCCCACGCAACTGGAGGCAAGCAAGACAAAGATGCAAAGCTTCCTGGTCTCCAATCGTATGACGGACTACATAAACTAACCAAGAAATAGCTATATAATAAAGACTGTCCTTTCATCAAATGATTAACATACAATTTAAAAAGAGTTTTTAGCAAAGGACGTTCGAAAACAGTCCTGGTCGACCTGTTTCATTGGAGGCATTGCAACAGAGTCTTAGCAAGTCCTGCGATGCAAATTGGACCTTCATAAAATGCTGGCGGTTGCCGCTCAGCTGTTGGTGATGAATTGGCGATCTGAATCCAGCTTGTTGTCCCCGTGTTCAAGCGAAGTCTCCCGGCTGAACAAATGCAGATCCACTGCAAAAAACACGTCCCAAGTTTGAAGTCCAATGCTCGTGTTTGTCCGGACAAACGTCGTTTTGGAAGCTCCTCGCTTGGTCTTTGAGAGCAACTTGGAGTCTGATTGACCTGCCACATCTCTGATACAGCTGCTTTGTACTCTGCTTTGTTTTTCCGAGGCAAAGCTTCTGCATCAAAGCCAACACTTCGACTGAATTCGTGCTGCGAAAACTCCTAAACACCCTGTCTAGTCTCCATCGTTACAAGCAGCGCAATGCAAATACATGCAAAAACAAATGATATGGATTCAATGGAGACACACAAATCCCGGTTGTAGGGCTGACCATAAAGCGATATCGCAGCTTTGTTCGATTGTATCGCACATCAAGCATTCGCAGCTGGACCTTGGGCTCCACTGAAACAGCACAACCACATTACAATGCTACAGAATGACTGACTTGTCGGAATCTTTGTACAAACAAGATTATCAACGAGATCAATAGCACCAGCGACAACACATGCCGCTTGTCTTTGCTACTTAAGATACTTAAGATCCTTGCGCTGTTACATCTAAAACAGAAACACGTATCTATTGAACCCTTTTCTCGATCTGCATGACTTCTTGCATTTACACACCTTTGTGATGTTGACCTGTCTATACCAACCTGACTGCAACAAAGGTCCTAGTCTTGCAACCAAGAGACCACATTGCTGCGCACCTTGACAGAAGGATCCATTTGTGAGAAAAGCCCGCGGCCTTTGGCAAACCGCATTAAAGTTCCAACGTCAAAGGAGTTCAACGGGAGAACACGCGGAATAGCCTCCGTTGTTCCATCGCAAAGCACCCATTGGAACCTCATCAGTAAACTTAAAAGCATGCCAAGCCTTGAAAAAGGGAGCAAAAGGCCAAGGCCTGATATGGAAAACTGGGAGATGATTCTATGTCCGACCTCAGTTCCAAATTACGGTATTCGTATTGTCGTTTCTTTAAAAACAACATGCTGCGCGCAGTACCGGTTGATTTTGGCTCAGGGATCTGACGAGTTGTAGCTCGCCTCCACTGTCCTTGGATCGGAAGCGGCAATGCAACGGTCTGCACAGCTAATACAGGACGTGACAAGTGCAATGCAAGGCGCGTTCCAAATGAGTCCAAACTGAGCACTGCTGTGCTGGTCCTTGCAAGATGTTTTTGACGTCAAAATAATGACCAAAGCTCGTGCGGGTCCTGCTTGGACTCGTGTCGTCGGGTACCAGCACCCTGACGCTCGCGTCAAAAAATCACACCCGCACTTGTTGATTAATATTTGATTATATATATATATACTATATATATGTATAATTATGTATATAATTATATAATGCCGCTCCTTTTCTGCTCACAAGTGGGGTGCATCATCAGCCACC